CAACAACGCAAGACGGCCGATATCGGCCTGGTGTGTAGGGGCCTTAAAAGATAAAAACGACTTGGTCTTGGCCAATAGTCTTATTTAAAAAAAACAGGATTTGACTACGGTGCTGACCTGCTTGTTGAATTTAAAAGTGCTATTGAAGGTCACTCCAAGGTTCATGACAGAGGGGAGGATGTTTTTATTGAGAGAGCCCAGAATATCAACCGGAGAGGCTGGAGGTTGGGGTCCAAAAAAGATGACCTCGGTCTTACTCTCGTTGAGGTTAAGGAAGTTTGTACACATACACGACTACTGACTCTTCACACCTTCTTCTAAAACAAACTATTGGAGCCCATTAAAGATGGAAAGACAATGTGTGGTTGCTTATCTTTTACATTGTTTGAATTCATTCTTATGTGCACTTGCTGTTACTGTTAAGCTTACACTGTATGGATCAATACATCGTCAATGACTGGGCGCTCACATAGGACGTAAACCCCTAACCCACGCCTTGTTTGTCCCTTTGTTAATGCCAATAAAGTTTATTTAAACAACATGGCTACGTCCTCAATGTTGACTAAAATAGAGTCAAGTATTACTTAATACAAAAAACAGAAAGACAGAAGGGTATGCAGCTTTATGTAATGTTTTATTTATAAATTGTCACAAAATAGTGAAAAATTTCTACCCCAATTTCTCATGGTCCAAAGTCGTGTCTTCATGACTTGTTTTGTCAGTCCAAAATCTAAAGACATTTAATCTAATGTGATATAAAAGAGAGGAGAGTAAGCAATCTTCATATTTCATAGGCTAAAAACGGCATTTTCTGACAATTATGCATTAAAAATCACTTAGTCAATTAGTTGGCTAATGTTTCTGTCCATTGACGGATCGTTGCACCTTTTACAAAGAAGGCATTCGATTAGCTCATCATGCCTTGACATTACATTACACAGGGTTAAAGAATTAAAATATTGCTGTGTGTTGAAAATGTTCAGCACCGTTTTTGTGTAGATTTTCACTTTTTAGCTCACTCTGCTTTTTCTCGGAGGTGAGAATAACACCTCGAGTGGGTGTTGGATCAAATCTGATGTTGTGTATCGTGAGAGGAGAGTGAACCCAGCAGAGTCTCAAGAGGAGTGAGAATTCAGTCTGGTGTAAAGCCAGGAAAACAAACATTTAGCGGCACATCTTGGCTTTTTGCAAGTCGGTTCAGCTTTCATTTGGCAAAAACAAACTCCACTCACTGCGTCAAGACATTTTAAGATAGTGCCACTTATTGTTTTTTAAACTAAACCACAAAATCAGTAACAAAGGTCTAACAGAGATATAGACAATTGAGGGTTTTGTGTGGGGATGCCAGCCATCACAGGACTGCACATGACTCCTAGAGATGTGATTCACTCCCAGTTTATCTTTAGCTCTGCCAATTAATGAGACTTCACACTTTGAGAGAGACGCAAACTGACACATTTCAAGACAGGGATAATTATGCAAATCTAGGAAGACAGCCGGCAACATTAAACCTGCATTTTAACCATTTACTTACGTGGTTAAACTGCATTTAGTGTACTATATTCCTCACACAACACATCTGTATACTGATACTATATACAGATGCAATGCTTCTAGCTACACGTGGAAGTACTTGTGGATGCAAATGAACACATTTAGGATAGTGCGTGCTTGTTTGATCATTTACAGGTGAAAAAGTATTGCATTTGCATACGGAACATCTGGATACAGTTGAACTCGGACAAGATTTTTAAGTTAGCATCCCGAAAATACAGCTTCAGCAACGTCTGATGACAAAGAGAGGGCTGTACCGTGATTACTGGTGTTTGTTTAAGGTGGATCCAGACACAATGTATGACACACACACACACACACACACACACACACACACACACACACACACACACACACACACACACACACACACAGTCTGAAGTACTGTATTAATAAATCTGTCTGAGAGCAGAACCCATGACTCTCTGCTGATGAAAAGCACGAAGAATCGAAACGCTAGCGAAAAAATATACAAAAAAACTACTTCAAATGAGAAGAATCTAATAAAATGTTGCGTGTTTTTGGCTCCTGATCCTAATCCAAGTCCTTTCATACGGAGTATCTGTCAAACTGATGCTAATATTTACCCAATATTGATTAAATATGTATCTGAAAGCATTAAAACAACTACTTAAATCTGACATATCTTGTTGTTCATAAGCTATTTAATAAAACAGATGGTCCTGGTAAAGAAATTAACGTTTATAAGGTCTGAATTATTCATATGACTTTATGAGTTTTATATAAAGCACCAATTAGACTTTACCAATCCACATTTAAGTGTCGTTATCAACATCATTAAATTCTCGTAGCTATCGGTTACAATAAGTCGTGGAGGGCAGCCAACTTTGTAAAAAGTAAAATAATCTTGTTCTAGCTCGTCTTAAAACCAAAACAAACATTTGGACTGTAGAGCCAATTATAAATATGATTAGTCTGTTGGTGTGCTACCTGTCAATCACAAGCATACGCTGCTTTATGGTTTGTTTTAATATAAATGACACCGTAAATTACAAAATGAACATCATGCTGCACCGAAGAAGGCTTGAAACCAGGGAGTGAGACCGTATACTCATCGGGAAAATGTGGTAGTAAATCCAAGTGAGATTAGGGTCAGTTTTTCATAGACTTCTATACAATCTGATTTATTTAAAAAAAAACAGTGGACTTGTCTCCTTCTGGTCATTAGAAACAATGCAGGTTTTAAGCTCTATAACATAGTCTATTATGAATCTAATGGAAGTATGTTGGGTTGGGACTATCGGGTCTCACAAAGAAGAAGTTTGAAGACTTAACACTCAGGAAATAACAGCCATTTTTCACCGTTTCCTCACACATTAGTCAACAATGAAAATCCTCGTGAGTCTCCATGATGGGATCCAAGCCGAGTGTTGGCCAATCCTGAAATCATTATTTCCCTGAACTTCCCTAATTTGGAAAGCTCCACTTTTCCTCCATGATTCATTATCGTGCCCCGGCTCTCTGTTTACGCGCTCGCTCTCCCATTCAGAACTTAATCACCATTTCCTTCCAAATAGGTCACAGCCACAACAGCCAGTCCCAGGACCAGATGACGGGATAATCCCTGAAATAAATGGCAGACCCCATCGGCCATCTGAGATTATCACACATGTTCAAATTAGATTTCATATCCCAGCAGGTGGGTTCCTCTTTATGCACATGGAAAGGCGTGTGTGTGTGTGTGTGTGTGTGTGTGTGTGTGTGTGTGTGTGTGTGTGTGTGTGTGTGTGTGTGTGTGTGTGTGTGTGTGTGTGTGTGTGTGTGTGTGTGTGTGTGTGTGTGTGTGTGTGTGTGTGTGTGTGTGTGTGTGTGTGTCCATATGTGTGGGTTGGAAAAAAAACCTAGTGTGACCTATTTCTTATACGCTGTGAAAAAAAATGACCGTCCTGTTGCTAGGAAAAGTCCACAGTTAGCCTAGATGCTGTTATGTTCGGCAGTGGCTCAGTAGGGGCTGGGACTGCGAGCTGTAGGGTCGCCGGTTCAAGTCCCCAAACAGACCTAAATATGTGTATATGAGTGTGGACTACTACTTGGAGAGGTCCCAGTTCACCTCCTGCCCTGCCGTGGTGCCCTTGAGCAAGGCACCGGACACCCCCCTTCCCCCATTGCTCCCCGGGCGCTGTACAATAGCTGCCCACTGCTCCTAGTACTAGGCTCCTAGTACTAGACTCCTGGTACTAGGATGGGTTAAAAGCAGAGAACACATTTCACTGTGTGCTGGGGGCTCTGCATGTGTGACCATTAAAGAGGGTTTCATCCCTCCGATTCTCTATCTATGTTACACACGTGTAGTTTTTAAAGGGCATTAAAATAACATTTTAAAAGCATTTACAGGAAAATACAGCCCTTGTGTGAATAATAAAGTTATACTATGTTCCAATAAAACTACCTTTAACAGGGGTCTGCTATTTAAGACCATTTTAAAGAGCCAAATAAACAACAAAATAGGAGTCTTGAAGTCAAAAGAAGTAACAGTAGTGTCATTTGAATACACTTTAAACGCTGTAAAGGCTTACTATCTTAATATTTATTAAAAGGGAGCAACTAAAAGGTGAATAATTAGTTCATTTAGTTCCTTTAAGACGACATCAGTGACAATAGTCTTCTCTAAGAGTAAGATGAATAAATGCATTGAGTTGTTGATTGTTTTTCTGATAAACTGATTGATTGATTGCTTCGTAAATTGGCTTCACAATGTCCCAGAGTCCAAAGGTGACATCTTGAAATGTGTTGTTTTTGTCCCACTAAAAGCCTCAAAATCCATAGACAAACACACAATGATATACTGTATTTACACTGGAGAAGCTTGGACCAACACTTGGTTGGGGTTTTAGATATAAAATGAAACAAAATATAGGTTCAAAAACTGGACGATTACTTTCCAATCGACATTTTGAATAATTTTAGGTTGAATGAAATGTCAGAAAAGTTCCCAGGACTGTGACAGCTTCTGCTACAGTATGAACTCAAATATATTACATTTAATGCCATTTATGACCGAGAAAAGCATCAAATCCTCCCCTTTTTAAACATGACAGGAACCAGATAAAATATGGCATTTGTATTGTTGCAATTGCTTTGCCTTACCAACCTAGATATAATCAATTTGAATAAATATAAACACACAAAAACAGCTAGAACTACGTAAATTAAAGCCTCTCTGTTTGATTGATTTATCCAATATGTTGCTAATTAACTTTTTGTCCCTTGAGTAATTAATTGATTATTGTTTCAGCAGTTTGTATGCACTTTGCCTCCAGAGGACACTTGCTGTCTTGTTAAAAGAGCTTTATCTGTGTAAGTAGAAACATTCATTGATTGATGTCTTGTTAAACACATCATTGGAGTTTTATCTGTATTGGTAGACATATTGATTGATTGGTTTTGCTCAAAACATGGTGGTCTAATGCATGATCTCCCCTTACCTTCCAGGCTGAAGTCCAGCAGCACATACTCGTACACAGTCTCAGTTTTTGTCTCCACTTGAGGTCTCTTCAGGGTGGAGTAGATCTTCCCGGGGCTGCTGTCCTCCGGGTCTTCCAGCTTCCTCAAGCCGCAGCCCATGGCCTCTGAGGCGGGGAGCAGCAGCAGGCTGACCGGGGTGGGAGAACCGGAGGTATTTTTTTTTTCAGCCTTCAACTTTTACCGAGACCCCTCCATCACATCCTCCCCGGTAATCCTTCTGAGTGCTCACAGATAAATACAAAATAAAGACACTGTAAAAGCAGAAAACAGCCGGTAACCGGAGGAAAGGAGGCGGCTGTTTGTGGGGAAAGTGTCCGGCTGATGTGGACTCAGGTCGGACGCGTGGAGAGGAGGAGCCGCTCTCTCTCTCTCTCTCTCTCTGGAAGAAAAGTTTCCTCCACAATCAAGTCTGCAAAGGATAACACAACTTCCGGGCTACCTTTCAAAATAAGATGCAGGAATAAACAACCATAACAGTAGGGGAGGCAGTGGCCGTGCTGAAAAAGTATCATTTACCTACTAGTAAATACAAGTGTCATACAAATGTTGTGAGGTAAAAAGTACTATATTTCCCTCACAATTTTGCACATTTCTGCATAATACTTCCACTAAAAAACTGCATACCTCTTCCTTTCAAAATAAGATACTGGAATAGACAAACAAATCAGTGATGGAGGAAGTGTTGGCAGATGCTCTACAGAAATAAAAGTACTTTATACCACTAATAGCATAATAATAGCATATCATAATTGATATTTTCTTTTATTCAATTTCAATTTACGGGTATGTCTATATGTCCTCAATACTCCATTTAAATGTTGCTATATTTTAATGTCATTTTAATTCATTCTTAAAGGTGGGGTAGGTAATTTTGGAGAAACCAGCTCGAGATCGCTAGAATTTGAAAATACACAGCCGGAAAAAATCTGCCACTTCCTCACAGAGCCCCTCCTCCAACACACACGAACGCGCACATGACCAATGAGGGCACGAGATAAGTTTGTGCCCCGATGGAAGGCTGACAGGCAGGTAGGCCATTCAGTTATTTTAGCCGGCCGGCTAAAATGATTGGTCGTACTTTTTACAGTACTACGGCTTCCACAGATGACATTTTTTTATGGATTTTTTGTCAAAGCACTTCAGATATTCATTGCTATCAGGATGTTAAGAGCATTCCATGGAATATAACAAAAAGTGTATCTCGAGCCGGTTTCTCAAACTTACCTACCCCACCTTTAATCCTTGTGTTGTGTTCGAAAGCTGTTACCGTTCATGGTGTTCGCGGGTCAATTTTGACCCATGATTTATTTCAGTCCAAAACACAACAAAAAAATGACTATCATCCAATATTGTTTTAACTACATCATAACTAACTTATTATGCATTCATAACCGTACAATCCTGTTGTTATTGTATTGTATGGCCCCACCACATATTGCACATGTGCATGTGTGTGTTCAGGTTCAAGTGTTAGTGTACCTCCTGAGACCCAGAAAGAAAAAGGTTTCAAATTTCCTTTTTTTTTAGATCACACAAGTCTTTAGGGTGGTATTAACATAATGACTAACAAAAACTAAAAAAAAATATTTTTATTTTTGTTTTATTGTGTGTCCTCTGTTGAGGACATTGGGTGTTAGTTATGCGAAGCATAGCATACAAACAACATTATCATACAAGTACATTTAGAGAACATTAGAGCACAACAACTCAATGCAACAAATACTGAGCCCTCATTTGTAGTACTCCATCCTTTTTTGAAATGCAGAGATACATCTGACACTTGAGGCACTTGATGTTTTCCCACTGCATCCGTCTGCCATGAACCCTACAGAAACCTACGTGTTAGTTTTGGCCCATAGTGGACTCCATTTGTGTTGTGTAAAATGGGGGGAAATAAAAAGTTAGCAAAAAATGAATGGGTGGCTCTCAGGAGGATATTCTTTGTGACAGGTGGAGTTCCCGTGGGGGGAGGGGGCCAGAGGGAGGAGAGACCAGGTGCATGTTGCGAACAATTATTGTTACAGTGGATGAAGGGGGTGGGGGTGGGGTGTCTAAGGTCAAAGATGAATCTTGATTGGGCCAAATTTGACCCTGAGTCACCCACAACAATTCTGCTGGGTCCTCCCTTTTTTAGAGACCTTCAGACTTGGCTAAAATTGTAAAAATCTGTTTTGTAGTGTTTATATATCTGTTGTGGAGGATATCATGAAGCCTTGTTCCGATACAAAAAACTAGAGCGTAGTTAATATATAATTTTAACTTGAAAAGGGTCATGGGAGACCCGAACACAACATTATGGTCCTTTTCTTACATTTGATCTGCTTTCACTGTGTTTATGTACGCACCAGATACACCAAAGCAAATTCCTCGTATGTGTTAACCTACCTGGCAACAAAACTGTTTCTGATTCTGATAGGCCTACATTCTCTGGCAATTGTGTGGAGAATATTAAAAAATATATAAAGCCTACTGTAGATATTTTTCACAGTAAGTATTCATATTCCTCCTATTATTTTTTTCAAATGTCTGTTTAATTTTTTTATACATCTTCATATCGTTTTTCAAGGTTTTTCTTCCTTTTTAAACATCGGCTCTTGTATTTTTCCTTTGAATTTAACTTACTGTATTGCCATTATACATCCCTGTGAAAATCTACTTGGCAAAATTAACAGAAATCCTATTATGACAAGTAAAAAGCCAGTATTCAAATGTTACTTAAGTTTGCAAATGTATTGAGTAAAATGGATTTACATTTTTTTAATTATTTGTCTTTTACCTTTTGCACAGCAGTCACAGAATACTGCTTTACGTTTCCATACGTACTGCTGTCGGCCATCTGCCCTCTTCTCCTCCCTGACCTTTATTACAAAAGAGTAATTTAATCAGAGACATTTATCTGTTAGGATTTACTTTCTTCACGTGTGTAACTTAAGACTCTGCCTGCTGCTTCGTTCGTATATGACTGCTCTCAGGTTATCTAATGAATCTGTAAGCACATCCGGACCATGTGGCATCAAACACAAACACACACACACACACACATGCACACACACACACACACACACACACACACACACACACACACACATACACACACACACACACACACACACACCACACACACACACACACACACACACACACACACACACACACACACACACACTTTAAAATCGGTTGACCTCTGACCTGTGTCCCTCTCCCTTCCACTGAGGCCCATTAGCAGCACAGAGCTGCAGACTGATGCTCAGCAGGAGGTCGACTGCTCGCTCCCTCATTAGGGACGAAGACATGCATAAAAAGAACTGTGTTTACCTTTTTACTGCAAGTCTACTTTCTCATTGTTCATATCAATACAAACATTTGCAATTAAGTCCTTTTCATATTCTGAATGGTTGGCAAATGCATTAACTAAGTACATTTACTACTGTACACTTAAGCAACATTTTGAGGGTCTTGAGTACTATGTACTATTCTGAAATGGGCCTACATTTATGAACTTTATCATCTTAAATACATTTATTGACAAGTATGTTATACTTATACTTTTGAATGAAGGACTTTGACACTGCAGTACTACCTATTTTACTGATGTGAAATATCTGAGTAATACGCCCAACTCTAATGCACATTTTATCAGTGGAAATTAACGAGATATGTCACTTTTTTAATATTCTTTCTGGAGCAGAACACCCAAGGAAAAAATGTGAAATGACCTAAATACAAATGTAAATACAGAGTTAGGAGGAGTAAAATAAAAAAGCTTGTGAAAGAAGTCAATAGGTTAAACCTTGTGTATGATTTCACATATATATATATATATATAAGTCCACATGCTGTTAAGACAACCACGAAAGTCAAGAAGTTCTCAATCTTTAAGTTACTTTACAATCTGCAATCCGCTCACACGTGTTTAATACACAACCATTTGCACAATATCTGTAAATTGGAGCATATCATATCTTTAAAATGTAGATGAACATCTTCTACTTCTATCTATCCATCTTCTTCCTATGTCAGACAAACAGGAAAAAAAACGATATGCATTTCTGCTCTCAATGTCACACACACAAACTTACACACACGTAGACACACACGCAGACACACACACACACACACACACACACACTGATGGAGGAAGTAAAGTCAGAGTATAGCAGCTGAGGCTCCGAGCCAGCAACGCCAGCTGCAGATCATCATACAAAACCACTGCCAGGTGGTCAAAACACACACACACACACACACACACACACACACACACACAACACACACACACACACACACACACACACACACACACACACACACGCACACACACACACACCCACACACACACCACACACACACACACACACACACACACACACACACACACACACACACACACTCATCTCTCCAGTATCTGCTCATCTGGTCCATTGTTGACGACCTCAGAGAGATAACTGCCTCTTTCACACATGTCGTTATTTTACATACAATAATAATAATTCCTGTCTTTAATACTGGTGATAATAAAGCTCGTTATGATGTATTGATTGATATTAGTTTTCCTGTGTAATGATTATTATCTGAATGAATGACAGGAAGGAGAGGAGGAAGCAGCTGTGGGGGGGGACTCTTCAATAGAGGAAAGGAGGACAGTAGAAATATTTATTGTGTTTAAACTCTGTATATGTGTTATAATTGTCTGGCTGCTGTTTTTCAGCACAAACAAATGAATTAATCTCTAATGCAATTCTGTACATTGGAAACCCCTTATTTAGCATTCATAAGCATTATAAAAACATGCAATATATAACGTTGTTTTAATCAAGTATTTTCATATATTCATCCACATCTATACATCTTCCTGTGAGCACCAGATTGTAAAGGCTGCTGTTTTTCTTACAATACTTAAAGGGGACCTATCATGCAAAATGCACTTTTGTACGTCTTTTATACATGAATATGTGTCCCCGGTGTTCCAGGAAACTCACCAAGTGTCAGAAAACACAACCCTCTCTATTTTCCTCCATACCCAAATCTCTAAAAAAGGGGCTGCAACGGATCTGATAAAAACTGATCCAGATTTGAACACTGTCCTGACGTCAGGACGGTGGCGCTACGGCTATTGGGCCAACTCCACCAATCAGGAGGAGACAGCCACGGCCATTGCCGTTCGAAAGCGCTGGAGACGCTGTAGTACATATGCCAGGCCAGTAGATGGTGCTGTTCTCACTGAATCTGCCCTTGCAAAAACAGAGCTAGAAAATGTCAAATTGAGCGAAATGAGGCATGGCTAAAATGCATGATCTGTTTGGTATTTTGAAAAAAAAAAGGAGAAATATGCCTTATATAGGTATGGTCCTACACTATA